AAGAAATTTTTAGACATTAATATGCATATTCAACATATTCCAACAATCAATTTATTATATTTCCTATAAGACACAAAACTTTGCCTTCCACGCAAGTATAATGGCTGGAAGAACTCCTTTGCAAAACTCACTGATATTTGATGGGATGGTCAACATTTTAGAACGAGAGATTCTACTAACATATCCTGCCGGAGAATCTAATCTGAGCAATAGTACAGAAAGTCCTAGGGAATTCGGAAAAATTAGTTGAGGATCTGGTAAATAAAAAATATGTATGTATCATACCTGCATGAATGAATCCGATAGTTTCTAGCTTTCTGACTTTTTTTTCTTTCGATCCCATGTGAATGCATAAGTCATCGAATTGATCCTTCATCATCTTTGGAGTTTTCAATCCTCTCTCTCGTAGAATTTTTGTACCATTATAGCCTGTGTGTAATTTTCCCGCTTCTCCGCATCCATATTCCCTATACATGCAACGAATTATCAAATCTCCCTTCCTGCCCATGATCTTCCTTGGCATCGAGCTCACAGATGGAACTTTTCGATCTCTATTTTTTCGAGATGATGATGCGATGCTACAAGATTCTCCCCTGTTCACAAAATGATCCAGAGTGTTAATGATTAATTCTGTGAAGGGATATAATCACCTGTCTTACCTAATTGCTTCAACACCTTCTATGTTCTCAAACGCCTTGTCTATGAATAACCATACATGTGACAGTAACCATCCTTCTAAATGATCTCCTTTTTTTAAGCTGTCTGTTTCATATTCACGAATACTATATGAAATAGGTGGTATGATTAACATTTAATGTTGTTCTTTTAGATTAGATAAGAGAACCTTGCACCTACAGATTGTCAACGGTGTTCCTTATCCAGTCCCTGTCAAAATCCTTTTGTCGGTTGTAAGCTGATTGCCATGGTTCTGGCCTAAAAACCCGTGCTCTGAGGTCAGAAATTGTGGACTATTCGAATGAAAAAGTTGTCAAAACATCATTTGTGAATAATGGTCGAAGCATAATGATATGAAAAATACGTGCCAGTTGGTAACTACCAAGATATTCTAACAAATCTTGGGGCATATTCGGAAGTGATTTTTGATTGTATGTATAAATTTCTTTGAGTTCAGATGGGGAGAAAATATTTTCTTCAACAAAACTTCTGTCTTCCGGATCAATTATAAAAGAATGACAGGGACTTTTGACATGTTAATGGCTTAGGATCTATAATAATCTGATTTTAAAACAGCAAGTACTTACTGTTCATAATTGCATCTCATTCCAAACTTGTATAACTCATCTTCGACAACCTTTCCAGATGTTAATACCCATTTTTTTTTATTTTCAAGTTTTTGGAATACCTTTGTGAACTTATTAAAATCCTCTTCTGACATCTGCACTCGCTCAACTTCATCACTGTCTGTCAGTAAATCCGGTGTTTGTCGTTGACTACCTGGCTGGATACTACTACTTGAACTTCCGGCTGGAGAACTAGAACTTTTTATTTTCATTTCTTTATTCGTTTTGATCTACACAATCCAAAGATATAAAGATGTTTTTACGATCTGTGAAACGGCACTTTCAGCAATAACTGTTAAGTAACTGAAATACACCGGTATAAGTTACCTTCTTAGGTTTTTCTTGATACTCCGAGCCAGAGGAATTCGTCTCTGTTGAGCTTTCAGTGTATTCGATTTTCTTTTTTTCCCTAAGTTTCATCCCAGTTGAAGAAGGTTCGCCTTCCTGAGATGAAATCCCTTCGGTATTTGTTGTTTCTTGGTGTCCTCCAAGTATTATATGGCTATTGTTGAGCTGGGTCGCATGATTCCCGAATTGTTTTATCTTCTTTACCTAAATGGATGAAAATATTGGTATTTTTTGCCTTGTAAATTTTTACACCAGAAACTCACCTGCAGACGCCCAATTTTCACATCACTGGAACGTTTCATGTTCTTTCGTGTGGTTGTCCAATTCTTGAAAAAATGTAGTAAATAATTAATATCCTAATACCTATAAAAAAACATTTCCAATAACAATAACAATATAGCATCAAACTAGGAACTATCCTTCAGACCAAGAGTCCCAGCTTGCGCTAAGCGTCGAACCAAGAATTCATCACTGGAGACCAAGAGTCCCAGCTTGCGCTAGCGTCGAACCAAGAGTTCATCACTGTTGGACTAAGTTCTTAACTCATTCAGGCGCCAAATGAGCAGTTCAGCTCAACTCTTAACTCGTCTCAAATCTCTATTCTACTAATGAACATACCTTCCAATCGTCAAGGATCTCTCGAGCTTTTCCTTTGCGCGTTACTTCAAATTCAGAATCAACATCTGCCACTTTCTGGAGGTCCTTCTTTATATAATCCATTACTTTTTTGAGATCCTTTTGCCCAGACCTTGCGTGATAATGCTCTACCAAGTTTGCACACGTCCAGTCCTCAATTGTAGTGTCACGGTAAAAATCCATAAAATGTTCTGAGAAAGTTTTTGAAGGGTTATAAGGTTTATCGGATGCTCTAAGCCACAAAAATTACTGTAATTATCATGCCAGTTTCCATATAGAGGTAGTTCACACGATTTAATTCTCGATCAGGGCGATGTGCTTCGGTCGGAATGTGGCCCGTCCCTCCGGAACAAATATACATATCATTAAATGCTATTCTGCTAAATTCTGTAAGGGAAAAAATTCGAAATATTTTGGGGGATGGCCTTTATCTATGCTAGTCACCGGAATGAGTGGATCAGGTAAGACTAATATCTTAGCAAATCTTTTTCTCGGTGATAAAGCTGAATGCATATATAAAAATAAGAAAGGTGGGTTTAAATATATTGCATGTGATGATTTGATAGTTTGCAGTTATCATCCTGATGAGCCGAAGTGGGCATTTATAAGATATATGTATGGCATAATTTCAAAAGATCCAAAAGCGCCTAGAAAAAATTCCTAGTGTTAGATCATTTTCGCCTGAGAGAAGCACAGCAATTATTTTTGAGGATCTGTGCTTCGCTCCAAATCATATATAGAATCGAATTAGCCAATTTTTTGGGAATGGGCGTCATCGGAATATTTCATGCATATTCGTAACGCAAAAATATCATAAAATTGATACATTCATGCGTGAAAATGCCTCACACATAGTAATCTGTAATTCTGGTAGCTCTCATGAAGATATTTCCAAGATTATTAGGCGATATACTGATGATGTAAAAAATGCCTCAATGATCATTAATAGCTACCTTCGAAAAAAAGAATTTATTGTATTTGATCTTACTAGGTCGGAAGATGATCCCCTTGCAATCCGCCTAAGATTTGATACTCCACTAAACCTGCAGAAAGAGATAGAGGTGAGGCAGAAGCGTAAGGAAAAAAGTAGTCAAGCTAATTCATGCAAAGCGTCTCTCGGTTAAATTTCTCTCCAAAAATGATGATATTAATTTTATTATAATTATATTCACATTATACAAGTATGGGTGATATAAAATAACTACAG